GTATAATTTTTATAGTTTTAAAATATTAATTTATTAATAATACTATTTTAAGTCAACTCAAGTTAAGTCAAGTTTAAATCGAGTCGAGTTAAATATTTAACTTGACTTGAATTTGATTTGACTTGCAAATCATTGAGTCAAAAAAATATAACTCAACTTGATTTAAACTCGACTTAGCTTATCTGACTTGTGAGTTAACTTAATTCGTCTAAAACTCTAGTATAGAGCATTATTTGAAAATAATGTCTACTGATAATGCCTCTATTAATAAGAAATAAATAAGAACAATGATCTATTAGCTAACAAAATAATAAAATGCTTTTTTGTGAATTTATTTTCAACAATAATGCTTCATATAGATACAATTTAATCTTTATTAATATTAGAGATTATGCAAGCTGCAGTAATTTGACGTGCATCTAGTATATCTTCAAGATATTAAGTAAGCGAAAGATCATACTATAAATATAAATAGCGTGTTTTTTACATTATTATTATATGAATGCATATGATATTAAAGATAATAAACTGCAAATATCTCATTAATTTCATTAATTTCATCTTGACTGACTTATAAAGTTCTATAAAAAACACATTGCTAAATTTTATCTCTTTAAATATCTAGTATAGCAGAAGGTAAGTATTCTTTAAGCTTTTTATCAATAGATGTAAATAAAAATGCCAAAGTGATAACTTGTAAAGGTGTACATTATATAGCAGCTTTTTATAATGTGAGTTTATATTTTCAATCTTTTAATATTTGTTTTTTATCTATAACTAGAATTTCAGATGAGTTGAGTTAACTCATGAGTCAGATAAGCTGAGTCAAATTTAAATCAAGTTGAGTTAATGTTTTTTTGATTCAATGATTTGCGAGTCAAGCTAAATTTAAGTTGATTTAAATATTTAACTTGACTTAATTTAAACTCGATTTGATTTAAGTTGACTTGAGTTGACTTGAAATAGTATTATTTTTATGGATGTTAAAATCCAGTCCTAGTCTAGTTTCAAAACTTCCAGTCTATAGGACTTGGATCCTAGGACTGGATTCTAGAACCAGATCCCAAAACTGCAGTTCTAGGATCGCGGTCCTATAGAAAAATAATCATTTAAGAAGAACGATAAGAAATCATTCGACTTAAACAATAAGAAATTGTTTGACTTGAATGATAAAAAAATCATTCAAGAAGAATGATAATGAATCATTTAACTTGAATGATAAAAAAAATCATTCAAGAAGAATAATAACGAATCATTCGACTTAAACAATAAAAAAAATTGTTCAAGAAGAACAATGATGAATTGTTTGACTTGAATGATAAAAAAAATAATTCAAGAAGAACAATAACAAATCGTTTAACTTGAATGATAAAAAAATTGTTTAAGAAGAACGATAATGAATCGTTCAACTTGAATGATAAAAATAATCATTTAAGAAAAATGATGATGAATCGTTTGCTCCCCTTTTCCTTCTCTCCTTTTCCTTTTCCTTCTCCCTTCCCTCCTCTCCCGATCTTTTCATTTTTTTTTATTATTTTTTTATTTTATTTTTTATTAATTAAATATTTATAAAAATTTAAAATTGACTTATAACTTGATTTGAACTTAAATTGATTTGAATAAATTCAAGTCAAAATCGAATCAAGTTAAAATCGAATTGAGTTAAATTGAGTTGTATTTAAAATTTATATAACTCAAATTAAATCAAATTGAAAGATTTTATAAAATAAATTTGACTCGACTTGACTTGAAAAAAAAGAGTCAAATAGAGTTGATCTTTAAACTTAACTCAACTCAACTCATTTGGAACTCTATCTATAATATCAGCAAGTTTACATAATGAAATATTAAAATTAAATATATGATATTTAAGCCAAGAGTTAATACTTTCAATTGGTGAAGATATATGAAGTCTAGCTGTAAAATATTTACATATCTAAGAATACGCCTATGTTTTTTTTAGTATTATAAAAAATATTAACTAAATATTGCTGTATTTCAGGATATTGAATAATTAAAGCTTATCACTTTAATTCAAATAAAGGTTTTTGTAATACATTTTGTACTGCATAAAATTGAGTAGAAAACTTTTGAAACTTCATTTTAAGTGGCTTTGAGAGTTTTTTAATTAAGTTTTGACCAATGTGAAATGTACAATATATTGAATATATTCTATAAAATGTAGATCTTATTGCGACATATACAGCTAGATCAGCATCTATTATTATAACTCATGAATGCATATTATTTGTTGCTAAATTAATTTGCTTAAATATCCACTTATATGATTCTTTTGTTTCATCAATTATCAATGCTTATGCAATGAGTCTTATATTCCTATTTTTATCAAGAATAATAAATTGACTCAAAGCCATATCATATATAAGTTACATCTTGTATAACTATATCTAAATATTAATACCAAAATTCAAATTAAGAAGGTGTTATCCAAAATAAGTGTATAAGAGTATTACTATCATCAAATTTAATTGCTACCTTTCACATTATATTATTCTGCAAAAATTCAAGTAATCTTACATAAAGCTTTGTAGCATAATTACTATCATTTTTTTTATTTAGTAAAAAATTCTGAATAGTATAATACAATTCATTATTATAAATTACTTACCCTGAAAATTTTGCTTCAAGATATTATTTTTGTGCAGCTGCTGCCTTTTTACATTTAATAGTAAGAAATTCAATTTCTTTGATTATTTCAATAGGCAAACATTTATTATTACTGAATTTAATAAGATGAGGATTGAGATCATAAGAATAGATATTATAAAAGGTAGTGATATAAATATTTTTTAATGGATTTTGAAATACTGATTCTGATAAATTTATATGCCAAGTATAATCTATATGCTTTGTTGATATTTGTTTACTGTTAGATTTTGTCATGTAATATCTGAAATATTTACATTGCATAGTATATTTGCGAAAAGTTTCATCTGAATTTTTTTTAATCCAATTATACACAGTATTAAATCCTTGCTGCTTTGCTTACCCTTCAATAATATCAAAAGTATTTTACTAAGTATCAAAAACCTTTCTTTATATAAAACTATTATATCATCTTCATTTATATTAAGTTCACTTATTTGTTAATCTAAAGATATATTACTAAAAGTAGTATTATATGATATAGATAACAAAGTATTTGTAAAAGAAAATATATGATCTGTCTGATTACTCATAGTAAAGTAAAATGAAAAAAAGAGCGAAAAGAAAGCTGTGAAGAATGTGACGAAAAAAAAGATGTGAATAAATATATGGATTGATTGCTAAGAAAATCAGGTTCTGGGAATTTTTTAGCAAAATTAAGATTTTTATTGCATTTTAGTTTTTGGTGTTATTAGATTAAAATGTATTAAACTCTTAATTTTAGTCAAAAATTTCTCAGAACTTGATTTTCTTAGAAATACTCATATATTTGAATGTTTAATGTAAAAAAAGGAAATAAACAGAAGTGAGCCATAAACAAAAAGTAAATATCAAAAAGGAAATGATTGAAAAAATAAATAAACAAAAGTAAGTCATAAATAAAAAATATATATAAAAAAAGTAAATGATCAATAGGAGTATATTAAATCACAATGTATATATCAAAAAAGGAAATGATCAATAGAGGTATATTAAATCATACTTACGAAAAATATAAAATTTTTAATTAATTGTTTTAAAAAAAATACATATTCATAGTACAACTATTAACAATAATAACTTGTAATAAATTCATTTTTGCTTTTTTTCAAATGAATTAGAAATTCTGAGAGATCTCATAATGAAATTGTCATTTTCTTGAAAGTAATAACATTTTCTTTGAAAGTAACAACATTTTCCTTAAAAATAATAACACTTGTCTTGAGGATAACAGATCTTTAAACTCGACTTGACTCGATTCATTCAGAACTCTATTTCTAACATTTTCAAAAGTTTTACTAATTTTTAATATATTCAGATATATTTCTTAGCAAAATAGTGTATTATAATCTCAATAATAAAAAGTTTTTTTGTTAGATCTGATTTTCTTTTTAAGGTATTTGCTAGTATTTATTGATCTACTATTTATTAACTTAAGTTAGGCCATTAAAATATGTCTTGTTCTGATTTAAAAAGAACTTAAAAGGATTTTCTTAATTCTGCAAATTGTTTTTTAAGAATTCTTGAAAATAACTATAATCACAACTTTTTTCTAAAAATTAATTACTTTTTGATATTCATTAAAACTATTATACTTATTATTATTTTTTATATATACCTATTTTTATATTTATAGTATAGTCATTAAGATCATACTGCTTGTCAATTTTAGATATATTAATTAAATGTTAATATATCAAATAATACTATTCTTCAATTTTAGTTATATTGAGCTAAACAATTATATTATTATTATTATTAGTTATATTACATATAATTTATATATTATTTTATTATTATTCGTAGTAAAGCAATTAATTTGTTAAATTTATCTTTCCATTTAGAAATTGATGACGATGATTCTGACGAAAGAGACATTATATGAGAAGAGTGTGTGTGAGCCTCAAGCTGATTAGATAGTACTATCCGAAATGATGCCAAATAGATAAAAACACAATTTATCCAACTCTTTTGGTAATCATGATATTGATATAAATCATGATTGAGTTGGTAAAAGCCAGTTACGATTTTCTGAAATTGAAGAAACAGAAAGTTTTATTCAGCAAGCAATTGGTAATAGTAATACAACTCAAGTTAGGAATAATCTAGCAAGTATTGATCACAATACTCTAAATAATAAACAAAGAATAATATTTGAAAAAGTCGAAGCACATTATATTGCTTTAACTTTAAATGAAACTGTTAAGCTTTTGCGAATTATTATTATGGGTACCGTTAGAACTGGCAAATCTTACCTAATAAATATCATCTGAGAAAAGCTGTAAGAAAATAACATTATACTTGCTCTAACAGGCATTATTGCCTTTAATATTCAAGGCAGTACTATCCATTCATTGCTTTCCATTCCAATATGTAGTACAAATTACAAGCTTGAAGGTGAATCCCTAAAAAGATTATAAAATAGATTAAAAGATATTCAATATATTATACAGTAGCGGTCATAAGTATCTGACCACCCGAGATCGTCCAAAATTATTATATAACTACCCCTTAAATTTTCC